TTGGTTTGTTGATAAGACAGCATTATTTATCATAACAAATATCGTCACATTCTCCAAAGAGCTTTTTATCAGAAATAAAGCAAATATATTCCCTCTATCTGTCTGAACCTTTGTCTGTATCTTGATTTGTTCCAATCTTGAGAGTGGAAAGAGGGTGTTATTTATAGATTCCTTAAAGCTCCAATAGATTGTGTCGTTCTCTTGGTATAGATGATAAAGTCACCTTGGGTGGGATGTAGGACCTACAAGATGGTTTCACATCGAAGAATGCTCCAAATTTTGGCTAAAATTCAATAGCAACATGATGTAGGGAGCAGTGTATTGTCTCTTCCCAAATGTTGACTTTTTTTACCCTTGACTTACCCCGTCAATAAATTTTTCTTGAGCCATATTGCTGGTAAATACAGGTGTTGCACATAATACCTAAGTACTCCTAGGGGGCCAGCCCAATTTCCCAAATGAGGAGAAAATGGCCTAATCTATGCTTTAAGGATAATTGGTTCCTGGTATGTGATCATACTCACATGCTGCCCTTTACCTAAAGAATGAATTCAAATTTTGTGAATGACGTAGCGAACATTTCCTAAATTTAGCAAGTAATTTTTCTTTTGTGATCTTATGATATTGGAGGTTGAGATAAAAAAGTGAAAGAAGGTTTTAATCTGTATAAAGAATATTTCACCTGCAGCCATTTTTCCTCCCAGGAAGATAGGGTCAAAGGCTCTATTACTTAGATCCACGATGCGACGCGAATTTAAAAATTACTATAACTTAGCCAGCAGGGCCAACCCTGTTTCTGATTCATTAAACATGTAATATAAAGTAGTATTGTTGGTTATATCATTTCTCTTCCTGAGTCCTATAAAAATTTAAGCAGTAAAGTTCTCCCTTCTGATGTATCAGGAAAAGGGACCAATGAGAACCTGGTTACGTCCCATTGAGCAGTAGGTGGGAGGCAGTGGGACACTGAAAATGTCTGAACCCTGGCACACATCGGGCCAGGTGTGGTTTATGTTACATCTGTCCTGACACAGTAATATCCTGAGACAAAACTTGACTCTTCAATATCTCCACAAAATATAAAAGTTAGGACCCTGAACCATGGTGGAACATAAGCATCGGGTCTTCCATAAGATACTCTGATCCGTGAGAGACTTCTATCTTGGGTGAATGAGTGGGCTGTGCAGTCGATATGACTTCTGTCTTTTCTTTTTTGTCTTTACACCAGAAAATGAGATTTTCTTTTTCTCTTTGTAACACCTGATTTTTAAAGATTAGTCAATTTAGTGTAGCCATGACAAATACAGTAAGAGTTGAAATAGGCTATAAATCATTGACTAGTACACAGAAGTCATGCTGTGACAAATGGTGAACTATACTATTCACAGGAACATGTGTGTGTACATACACACACACACACACACACTCATTCCTGTTAATTGGAAATGATCCATGTATATGTTAGCCATATAATCTTTTGAGTTCCTTTATTTCAAAATTGTCTTCATAATAACTCTGTATTTCTTTATGGCCTACTTCGTATTAAGCTAGGTTTCATAATATGCTGCATTTGGAATATTTTTATTAGTTTTATCTTATTCATAGTAAATGAAAATATTTCTATCTCAATTTGTATTTATTTTTTTCATAGACCTGTGTTTATTCTCTTTTTATCACCTTAATATCTCACAAACTATTTAAATTGTATGCAGTTGTATTTGTCATTAAAAAACTTATATAACACCTAATTTGGGTAAAGTTCAGGAAATATGGGAATTAAGGTATAACTGTTATTATTCATTAATTTTTTTTAATCTTCATCCTCCCCTTGCAATTATCCAAATTATATATGGGTTCTCAGCCTGGCCGCACATTACAAGCACCTGAGTTGTCTTTAAAATTACCATTGTCGGAACCACCCTAATGGGAAAATATGTTTGCAAGCAATGCCTCTGATAAGGGCCTAATATACAAAATATACATAGAACTCATACAACTCAATAACAACAACAACAACAAAAAACATTTAAAAAATGGACAGATAACCTGAACAGACACTTCTCCCAAGAAGACATAAAAATGGCCAACAAACATATGAAAAGATGCTCAACATCGCTAGCTATTAGGGAAATGCAAATCAAAACCACAATGAGATACCATCTCACACCTGTTAGAATAGCCATAATCAACAGGACAAGTAATAATAAATGCTGGAGAGGATGTGGAGAAAAAGGAACCCTCATACACTGCTGGTGGGACTGCACATTGGTATGGCCACTATGGAAAACAGTATGGAGGTTCCTCAAAAAACTAGGAATTGATTTACTATATGATCCAGCAATCCCTCTACTGGGTATTTACCCCAAAGACTTGAAAACCCATACCCAAAAAGATATTTGCACACCGATGTTCATAACAGCATTATTCACAGTGGCCAGGACATGGAAGCAACCAAAGTATCCTATGATAGATGACTGGCTAAAGAAGCTGTGGTACATATATATAATGGAATATTACTCAGCCATAAGAAGAGATGAAATACTGCCATTTGCAACAACATGGATGGACTTTGAGATAATCATGCTAAGCTAAATAAGCCAGATAGAAAAAGTTATGTGGGATATAAACCTAAAAGCAACAAACGAACAGGACAAACAAACAGAGACTCATGGACATGGACAATAGACTAGTGGTTACCGGGGGAAAGGGGAGGTAGATGGGGAAAAAGGGGTCAAATATGTGGTGACAGAAAGATATCTAACTACAATTCTATACAAATATTCCTTACTGCTGAACTGTACACCTGAAACTTACTGGATTTCATTAATCAATGTTACCATAATAAAAATAAGTACATAGAAAAAAGAAACAAATGAACAAATAAATAAATAAATAAATAAAATTATCATTATCAGAATCCCACCCCAGGTCAACTGAATCCAAATCTCTGCAGGTATTACGCAAAAACAAAAACCAAACAAACTTCCCAGGTGATTCTAATGTGTAGCCAGGGTTGAGGATATTGATTTATTCCAAAGTCTGACAGCTAGACCTAAATGAAGTGATTTGACTGCCCTTTTTCCCACAGTTATCATCACAGATAAATCGGAGGATGTGAGCTGAGAATTAAGAATTAAGGATAAAGTGACTCGAAAAAATGACACCAATTTCACATTCTTTCTAAGTATGATCAGAGATCTATATCTGAATATACATTTTTAAAAGTCTCCAAAATTCCCCTATAGCTATCTAGAAAGAGACACACACAAACCCACACACATATATGCACATGAGTATATGATTATATATCTGTTTTCTGTCTAGTACTGGGTTCTTGCCAACTGTTTGTTTTAATCCCACAAGACTAGTTCCTCCCATAGCTCGTTACATGTTTAGAGTCCTCATTTAATGCCTGATAAGTAATTGTAATAGCAGAAGTGGTAGCAAGTTATAGCAGTGAGTTAATATTTACTTAGTGTTTGCAATAAGGAAATCATTGTCCCATGTACTTAAGTGAATTTTAGCCTCTCTATTTTATAGGTACCCTTAGTGTCTCCATTTTACATGCTCCACAAAAATGCCTCTATTGCACTGTTTTAATGTTTTCCTTTGAATTGTATAAAGTTTCAGTGTAGAAATGTCCATTTGAACGTGATTGTGTTTTTGCAAAAATACAGTTAGAAACATTGATTCTTATGCTTTAATAATAATCACGATGAATGTGTATAGAAATAAGTTCTAAGGAAAAATATATCTCTAGATAAATTGTCTTTATTCTTTTATCAAACAAACAAAAAACTGCTTCATCCAACATGTTTCCTTTCATGCCCTATTTTAAAAATTTTATTAAATTCAGTACTCAAGAGAAGTAGTGAATATATTTTTGTGCTGGTCACATTTTTTTCTATTCCTTTTCATTGATTTAGTTTTCTTTCTTACGTGTAATTGGCCTACTTTCTATTCTATTTGATTTTGTAAACCTATATCAATTGTTTTTCTGGAATAAGTGCAATAGAAGTGTGAAATAAATGTTTTAAACGACCACAACTGCATTTCAATCTATACATTAGAGAGATTTCTGTACTCGAATTTCAGGCCAGAGGATTCATCGCTTTTTTCTATTCTATTATCAAATTCAGACACTTAGCTGAAGTAGCATTCCTTGTTACTGGAGTTGATTAATTAGCTTACCTCTCCTTCCCTCCTTGCTCCTTTCTTTCCTTCCATATGTACTTATTCAGAATCTACTATATGTCAGCTTTTTCTAAGCCTTAGGAATGAAGATTAGGTCCCTGCTTTCATGACACTTATTTCTAGTATTCAGGAAAGAACCACAGAGCCCTGTAGAAAATATTGTCCAAAGTAAATAAATATTCCTTTCCTCTGATGAAAAAAAAAAAAAGTATACATAATGATCTCATTCTTATCTTTTCTCCTAAAAGAAAGAATTATCTCTGTCCTAAATTCTCTGGTGTCCAAGCACATTCATGCTCCTAAAAGCATTAATGAGTATCAACTGGAAAATTTGAGCTTGTCAGCCACAAAGTCTGATATGGAGGGAATCTTCAACACAGAATTCACACTCTTCCCCAAACAACTGGACTGGGCTCCTCCAAAGCAAAGAATCACTGAGAACCAGACTCCAAATCAACTGTATAAGTATGACAATTGCCAGTTGTAGAATGCAATGTTTATCAATGTGGCATAGCTATAGGCAAGGGGATTGGAATGGCTGGTCAGATATGTGCTGTAAGGATCAGAATTACGTGTTTTGGAATAATGGTTTTTGGGCAAATGCATGTCAAATTGCAGATCAAAAAGTCTTATTCAAATAGTGGTTACAGTTCTTAACAGAAGGATAAGCCCCGCCTGTATCCAAATAGAGAGGAATTTTGGTTTCCCTCCCACACAATTTGTTTTTCCCTCTAGCTATATGGAAGATAATGGTCAAAGAGGGATGTTTTCTAAGGAGGGTGGTCAGGGGAAATATCTCTGGGAAAATGGCAGCTAAAAGTAAAGGAAGAAACATTAGCCCTGTGAACAGTGAAGGAAAGAACATTCTAGACACCGGAAATAGCATGTGCAAAAAAGCCTTGGGGAGCACGGGAGCCACCCTTGCTACATTTGAGGATCTAAGAGAAAAGCAGCGTGCCCGAGGTGATGTGAGGAGGGTGCCAGCCTGAAGAAGAGGCAGGGGCGGATCAGGGAAGTCGTGGAATTATTTAGTGAGGTGGGAATGGCCAACTCAATCACATGTACACTTTAAACTCACTTTTACTGCGGTGTCAAGTCTCATGGAGGAGAGGAGCCTTTAGTCCAGTGAGGAGACCACGTACTCTATTCATCTTCACAAGAGGGCCAGTAGACTGGACTAAGGTGATAACAGAGGAGATGGGGAGGAGAAAGTGGCTTAACATTTATTTTTGAAGATTGAATCAACAGAACTGGCTGATGATGGATTAGATATGGCCATTGGGAGGAGGGCAGGCAGTGGTGAGGAAAAGGGAGGACTCCTGGCTTGAATACCTGAATGGGCGGTCGTGCCATTTACTGTATGATGAAGATAAGAATGGGAAGAATTAGGAGCTCAGGGTTTGACATTTTAATCCTGTGATATCCATAAATCGTCAACAGGGACATGTAAATTAGCCAACAGGATAAGTGAGTTGGAACTCCAAGACAAGAGATTTGGGAATCATCAGTTCAAAGATGAGATACCTAGAACCGGAAACAGAGCGATATAAAGAGAGTATAAAATGATGAAAGGGACCACGGCAATCCTTGGGGTTTTAGGGTCACTTAGGTGCAGAGCCCGAGGGAATCCAACATTTACATGTTGGACTGAGAAGCCCAAGGAGCAGTTCTAAGAGGAGAGCCTCTCAAGAGCAAGGTCATGGTCTGCCCTGTCAGGTGTTGCTGAGTGGTTACGTAAGGTGAGGATAGCCACGCTGCTGTTGCATTTGGCAAAGCGGTAGCCACCAGAGACCAGAGACATTTCAGTGAGTTGTCTGGGCAGAAGAGGAGTGGGTGGAGGATGGAATGGGCGACAGTTACTGTAGCCAACGATTGTGGAGAGTTTCACTATAAAAAGAGAAAAGAAATGACATAGTAGCCGGAGGAGTAGGAAATGTTTATTTTAGGTGATACTTGAGCATGTTTGTGTGCTGATTGGATACTCCAGTTAGATGGAAGTGATTAATGATGTTGGGGGCGGGGCACAATTTAAAAAGCCAAGTCCCTGAGAAGGCATCAGGTCACAAGATTCTGAACAAAAGTGGAAGAGGTGGCCTTGATAGGCTGGAGGGTATTTTCTTCATTGAAACAATAGGGAAGGACAAAATGGAGTAAAAGTAGATTGCTTTTCAATCAGGTGGTGGGAAGATGAAGACTTTGATTCTGAAGACTTCCTTTTTCTAAATCAAATCTGATGTGAGATCGGAAGCTAAGATCAAGAAGCTAAAGAGCATATAGAAGATGTGACAAAAAGATATGAAATTCTCAAAAACTGTCAGGAAAACAGTAGCACTGCTGGGAGGGGCCATGGCGAGGTTTGTATCATAAATTGAAGGTAAAATTGATGAGCTCAGTAGCAAGATCTTCAATAATAACAATAATATTATAATAATAGATGTGAGTGGGTACTATCCTTGACTCTTGTCACTCAGTGCTCTCCGCAGTGGAACTGGATGAACTGGCTGCCTGTGCTGGTGTCACCCTCCTCAAAGTTCCATTCTAACCACACTCAGCAGAGAAGGAAGCGCCTCTGGAGACAGGAGGCCTGTTCTTCCGTCCTGTTCTTCCATCCTGTTGAGCATCGAGTGGCTATTTCCCCAACTAGAAATTCCAAGTAACTTCTACAGATTCATCTAGAGATCCTAACAGAGTCACGCCCAACAGCAGCAAGTGAGTTTTTCTATGCTGATTTGCCATATCTAGTCTCTCAAAAAATTTCATGACAAACTTGTTTGGAAGGGTTCTGATTAGTGAGAAGGGCAAAGAAGCCCAAATGAAATGTCAAAATTATATCAAAGAATGAAATAAGTATAACTCATCTGATAATTCAAAGGAGCAGAAAGGAAAATAAAGTTATTTTTAGCAATGTATTGTTCCGAAATTTGAAGAGTAAGGGAATAAAGAGCAAAGAAATGAATATCTTTAGTTTCATGCACAGTCTCCAAAAAAACTTTTCCATAACCTTCCAGCTCAGTCCTTGCAGCTGAAGCTACAGGAATGGTTGGACTCTGAAAGTTCTACTTTGCCTATATAACTAGTACATGGTCTCAGGGAAACAATGCCACATGAATGAGATAAAAAAAAAAGCTCCCCCTCCCCACCCCCCCACACACTCCTACACTTGCAATTTGCAGGACCTCAGGCAGTTCTTGTTCCCTCATTTGTGTAATGAGACTAATGGTACCTACCTCATAAAGTCATCCCGAGAATTAATCAAGACGATCTGTACAAAGTGCTTAGAACAAAGAGAGCCTGCATATGTAAGTGCTCAAAAATGGCAGCTCTTCATTACTATTTATTATTCAACACATTTATTGATGCTCACTATGGGCCAGCCAGCATAGCAGATGCCTGGAATACAAGCAGGAGTGGGGTGTCCTGCCTGGAGGACCTCTGCGAGCCTGGTCCTCTAAACAGCGATCTGTGCTCCATGTGATTCAGAACCAACCTGCTTCAATCATCCCTATACCGTGTCATTTCTTATGTGTGTGTTTTAAAAATTACCACACTCTACCTTCACGATTCCCTTTCTGTTTCTAAAACTAGATTCTCAACTCCTGGAGAGCAGGGCCCCTGTCTATTCCTCAGCATCTAGCACAGGGCCTATCATAACGTAGATAACCATATACACGTAGATGAAAAAAACTGACTTCCTTTAAATTTTTTTGGACATTGAAATTTCTAGACTCTCTCCCCTTCTACTCCTCTTGTCCTGACCTCTCCCTGGGGTCACCCTCACTCTTCTATGTGCCCTACAGAATCGCTCTTTAGCATCTTCCAACAGTGCTGGAAGGAGGTGTAATCACTCCAGTTTTAAAACTGTGGCTCTGCACTGTTAAAACCACCCATGTGGCAGGGCTCCCATCCAGAACATTGTACTTCCCCTAGGAGCAAATATGGAAGATGGAAAGGAGGAAAGGACCTTTAGGACAGGCCATATGACACTAAATGCCACAGGCTGATACTCCATAGGAAATTGATCTTAAAAATAATGCCAGCCTTTACTTGTAAGATAATGTAAATCCTCTGTCGTATTTTGAGGATTCTTCTTCCTTTACAGACACGTGGAATATATTTTTGAAGAGTTTCCCCCTCTTCGGTCATGGGCATGGTTGTTGAGGAGCTTATTGTGGAGACATTACCTATGCCGAAGAATTGAACAAGCAACGATTTTTAAAAATTGCCATCAATCAATCGATCGATGAAAATTTGAAAAATACAATATGGATCAAACGATATAAACTTGTATTAAGCCATTAAATTATGTCCACGTAGGAGGAATTGTATTTTCAAATGTTTTAATTCGTTTTTCGACAGTCTACAGGAGAATTCCCTTTGAACCTGCTATGCACATTAATGGCAAGATGACAAAGCAGCGTCGAGAGCTGAGAGCTTCAGAAGGAAAATACGATTTGCTGACATTCGGAGAAGTGGGGCACTGCCATCCTCTGCTGGGGCCGCTCTTTTTTTTCTGGCTTAGACACTTGCACGTTGCATGAATTCGAGTCAGATCTGCCTTTACCCTTTATGAAAACAAGAAAACCTCCCTACACTTGTTAACCTAAAAGTCAAAGCCAAAGTGAGATGTAATAGCATTTATTTGAGATTCAAAAGAATAGCTATTTGGGAAGCGCTGATTCAGGCAGAAACCCAAATAGTGTTTTGATTAGGAAGCAGAGGCAAGGGGTATTTATGAGAAAGGGAAGGGGAACAACTGCATGAATAGAAGGAAGGAATTTCTACAGATGCAGATATGCTAACCTAACAATGCTAATTCTAAAGAGCGTCTTTAATTTTCAGTCCTGTGGTCAATGTCTACTTTCTTATTATGTTTCCAACGGTGCGGGATACAGTGCTGACTTAGACCCAGTTCAGAGATTATTTTGCCTGGTTTTAACATTCCAAAGGCTTGAGGAGTAAGATGTACAAGGCAGTTCCTCTGGGATGGCAGGTCCGACTCCATTTTAAAGTGGCTCTGTTTATATTATTTTTCGCACACGGAAGAGTCCTGTTTGACCTGGGCTGCCTGGCTGGTGGAGAGAGTCCTTCCACTGCACCCCCCACCCCCGCCTCCTCCCTGGCCCCACCGCCCCAAGGCTGGGACTCACCACTAGGCTGTCTTCTGGTGATATTTCAGAAGCTAGTTTAGGGGAGCCCACTTCATTCTGGGGTATGGCATCAGGCACTATGAAAAGTACTGTCCCAATTGCCTAGAAGCCTATTTTCTAAAATGAAAACACAAATCCAGCACATCAAAAACCATAGAGACAGATTCTTCTAAGTAGTTCTTCTTATGCCTGCTTCTAATTTGGTTATAGCCATCAGCTGTTTGAACTGCTACTGGAGAAAGATAAATTGTGCTGGTGGCCAGTCATTGACAGAAACCTGTAAACATACTAAGGTCCTGGGCTTTTGATTTCATCATGAATTGGGCCCTGGGTTCTCTGAAAGAGTGCCAGGTGGAAAGCACGATGTGAGCAATTGAAAAGCACCATGCAAATTGTTTGAGACTTTATATGGTGAGTATCTCAAGCCAAGGAAACCGTTGGTGTGAAAAGATAATGACCAAACATTTAATTGGGAAGGAATTGTGCTGTGTCACAGTGTTAAGAGCTCTACTCTAGAGGGTTGTACTCTCTGCTGACTGGTTGCCATCTCGGCACAATTGGAGAGCACACCATAAACAATAATAACCCAAACGCCCTTCCCTTGCCAGTCCTGACAACCAGAATAAACAGTGAAGAAATAGCTCACCCAGTTCCTTTTCTTTTACAGAGTTAGAAAACACTCATTCTACAAGAAAACAAGTGTCACATATTTGCTTCCAGGTGGGAGGAGAGAAGCCCATTCCCGTACTCACCGAAATATAGCGGTCCAGCTGCACTTAGCATCACCTGAGAACTTGTTGGAAAGGCCTACATATTCTGGAGCCCTACCCTAGCTGTACCAAGTCTGCAACTGATGGCAGAACTCACCAGTCTGAGTTTTAACAACCCCTAGGTGATGCCGATGCAACTTTACTCAGATGGGCACTGCCCTAGGTGTTTCACGCGTGGTTTCGGAAGGGCTGGCCTTCCCCTTTCGCCCTCGGATGGGTAAAAATAGGGAGCTCGCTGCAGTTGTTCCTGCAAACGAGAAGGTTGTTTACCAGAGGCACGCGCATTTCGCTATGTTTAAGGCGTAGGAAGTTTTTCCTGCACGCGTAGGTCAAGGGGCCTCCCCCTTTTGCCTCCAGCAGGATCAAATCGCAGAGTGGGTTGAATTTAAGACCCAGCAGGGGTCGCTGCTGCCTATGAAGAGAGACCGAGGGAGCGTGTCAAACGAAACCCAGAATCTTTGACATCACACTAAGCTCCTCCTCGCACGCACACATCACACCCACACACACACACACACACATACAGACACACACACACATATACAGACACATACACAGAGATTGAGAGACCGCGTACTCCTCTCTGCCGACTCCCTTCCACTACCCCGGAGCCGACCCCTCCGGCAGCAAGTGTGTGTCCGGCAAGGCCACCCGGCGAAGCGAGAGGAGCGAGGCGCCCGCAGCCCCCG